GGTTTTTAGTTATGAAGAAATGAAAATAAATAATAAATCTCAACCTTTAATAATTGAATCAATATGAATCACCAATTTTTATTCTCTCATCAATTTCTTCATAAATTTATTAATTTTAATAAAATTAAATGTTGTACAAAAATAAGTTATAGCTTAGGTACAAATTAACCACCAAATAATTTTGTCGTAACATATAAATTCAACAAAAAAAAAATAAAATGTTATATCTAAATTTGAGGTGAGTTTTAAGAGTTCAAATTTTTATTTTTTCTCTTTGGGGAAAATATTTGGAATTAAATTGATTTTTAGTAACAACTTTTGAAAGATTATTAACAAACTTATACTCAAAAGAAAAAAAAAATATATTAACAAAGTTCATATAAATGGATAGATAGCGACTGAATTAATGTGGGTTTTGGTTTTGATGATTATCGTTAATAATGTTATTACATTAGATGGAAGTGAGCAAGTTGAAGACGCAGCTATGGTGTGGCGTGCCGTCAATGTGTAGTGTGTATTAAATTATAAATTAATCCCTAAATTTCTAAAAGTATTTTAATTTTATGTAAAATATTTTGAAATTCATATTCTATCGCATATAATAAAATTTATAATTTTATTATATATTAAGTTATAAATTAATCCCTAAATTTAATTTTATATATTTTAAAATTCATGGGCTAAGACTAGGGACAAAAGCAGAGGAATTTTTGGTTGCTTTTTATATTTTATATTTTATTTCCTTATTAAAAAAAAACGATAGATTGAAGAAAACGCAAGCGGCAGCCCGTGACACTTCATAGCCTAAATTTTTAATTTCAATCAATTAATTTTTTTGTATTTTTTTTTGTTAAAAGTTGCAATCGGTCTCAAAATTAATATTCATTAATTTCCAATTCAACATATGGTTACATTTTTTCAATTTTTTTTTTAATTCGTCTTAAAAAAAATTATATAAACCATACGATCTTCAAATAAATAAATAATTAATAATTTAAAATTAGGTTAAATATAAACAATCATATTGAGATATAAGTGATCGGTTGTTGTACCAAATCATTTATTTTTTAACACTAGAAACAATCAAAAACATAATAAACGACATCATTGACTATGTGGATCTTTGAGTAAATGTGAAGCATCAACCTACGAGTTAGAACCTTTAATGGAATAAAACAAATTATCTGATAATTTAGAATTTTACATCTTTTTTAAGGTCAAATTTTGTATAATTAAACAATAGAGTTTATGGCACGTTTACGTACCTAAAAAGAAAATGACTTTTAATATGCATAATAAACGTCGAGTCATTTTTCTTAATTATTTGAAAAGAATAATGTAAAGAAGTTAAAAGACAAGAATTGGTTCGGTTTAAATTTTTTTTATGCAATTGTTGGGAGATATTCCCCCACTAATTGAGTATGATTATTATTATTATCTTTTTCTTTCCATTATGATACTTTTGGTCAACAACTACATGCGTCTATTATTTGGTTGTTATGATAAGGAAAGTAATTTTGGGCATATAATGATAATATTATCTAGTTTTCTATATATATATATATAATTTTTTATATTGTGCCAAAATTGAAATAATAATAATAATGTTTTTTTTTTTAATTGACCACGTAAATAAGTGAGTTCAAAAGATCAAATGTTGGTATCTTTTTTATGAGACGTGATCATGACTTTCACATAATAATCAAGCTAAATTAAGAGTACTTGTGAGATTTCACCTCAGTTCGAGAGAAGAATAAAATATTATTTATAAGAGTGTAGAAATCTCTTCATAACAGACGTGTTTTAAAATCGTGAGGCTAACGGTGATACGTAATGGGTCAAAGTGGACAATATCTGCTAGTGGTGGGTTTGGAGCATTATAAATAGTATTTGAGCCAGGTACCGAACGGTGTGCCAGTGAGAACGCTATACTCATAAGGGAGGTGGATCGTGAGATTTCACATCAGTTGGAGAGGAGAACGAAACATTCCTTATGAGGGTGTGGAAACTTCTTCCTAATAAACGTGATGATATATAATGAGTCAATGCTCGGATTGGACTGATACGGTACTTCTGTCTAGTCATTCATAATGAACCTTAAACAATCATTTATTAAATAATGTTTAAAATAATATTTTTTAAATATCATGGATAGATATGACATAATCGGTCTATATATTTTCAAAATTGGCATGAAAGGTTGATATTGACGTAAGGAAACATCAATTGAAACAACAACCAACTTGTTCTCCAACTAAGGGGAGGGATAATTTTAATTCTTACCAAAATAAATATTATTATCATATATAGATCGATATATATAATTCTAGGCTGAATCGCTTTGCAACTTTTGTCCATAATCAGCTAAATCAAGAAAACGGTCGTTAGCAAAATCGTGACATCTCTCACAACAACGACTCGTTGTCAATTGATTTTAAATATTATGCGGCATCTTGTAAGACGTGTGATCGTTGAAGAATTGATATGTCAAAATATGTCGTGCAAAAGTGAATTTTAAATTAGAAGGTGAATGAAGTTGATTCAATAATGTTTGTTTTATCATTTTAATTTGATTTATTGAAATATTTGATCTTTTTTTTTTTTTTTTGTCATTAGTTTTGTGAGATCCCACGTCGATTGGAGATAGGAACGAAACATTCTTTATAAGAGTGTGAAAACATCTCCTTAACAGACGCATTTAAAAAATCTCGAGAGAAATTCGGGAAGGGAAAGTTCATGGAGGACAATATATGTTAGCTGCACGTTTGGACCATTACAAATGGTTTCAGAGTCAGACACCAAACGGTGTGTCAGCGAGGACGCTAAGCCTTAAAGGTGGTAAACATCGGGCGATATGCCAGTAAGGATGCTGGACCCCGAAGGAGGGTGGATTGTGAGCGATGTGCCAACGAGGACACTAAGCCGTAAAGGTGGTAAACATCGGGCGGTGTGCGAGTAAGGATGTTGGACCCTGAAGGAGGGTGGATTGTGAGCGGTGTGCCAACAAGGACGCTAAACCCTAAAGGTGGTAAACACCGGGCGGTGTGCCAGTGAAGATACTGGACCCCAAAAGAGAGTAAATTGTGAGATCTCACGTCGGCAATAGAGGAGAGCAAAACATTAATTACCTATAAAAGTTTCGATGAAAAGCCCAAATAAGAAAATATCGGGGTGGTAATAGGTTTACTAGTTTAGACGAGTACTGAGAATGAAACTTAGCGTGGGATAATGGGCCTGGAGTTGAAGTGGGCCAGGGCCCACCAATCCTATCCATTCGGAGAATCTGCGAAGTTTTTCGGATGAGAATGAACGAACAATAATAAATAAAAATATAAAAACAAATATTTTATTTAAAAAAATCAAAACAATTATAAATGCGGAAGAAAATATGATAGGCTTTAGAGGCTACCATTCTTATCGCCCATTGAGCCATCCCTCTCCTAACTTTAAAGATTCCCTTCCTTGACCACAAATTTTAATTTTCCCTTAATTTAATTTTTATTTTATTTTGGAAATATCTGTTTTAAAAATGGTGAACTGTTACTGGGCCCTGCAATAATATGGGAAGGTTGGTTGGTTCGGCCTTTTTGTTGAAACATAAAATCGGCCCATCATATTTTAATTCCGACTTGCTGGCTTCCTTTGGAATTTTCTTTACGGAAATGTTTCCACCAAATATCACAACGATCGTAATAATTGTGAGACGCTACATATGTATGGTTTAATTATAAATTCAAATTAAAGTTTAGTCATTAAATTTGTAACATAAATTATAAATATAGTCAGTAATTATTCATTAATAAATCCCTCAAATTAAAAAAATATATATATATATTTTAATTTTATTTTCTCTCTCTTGGAAACAACCAATAGGAGGATGAAAAGAAATAAAGGGATGGGCAAAGGTGGTCCGGTGAAGCAATAAATTTGGAAACAAAGCTGGTCGAAAGCTTATCCAACCACGTAAGACCATAATCCTATCAAATTATTTGATTTTCACGTTCATGTTTTCTAGTCGTCTAGTCGTCTAGTCGAGGTTTGAGACATGTCGAAAGGAATTAGATATCCCGTAAAACAAGTAATCCCACTAGTAAATAAAGTTTTTTTTTTAAATTTAAAATTATTATTATTATTTAATAATACGCGGCACATAAGATTAAACCCCTAACATTTTAGTTGAAGATATATATTTACTTATTATAATTGAATTGGGTTCAATTTAGGTCGAAATAATTATTTGATCAAAGTTAGTATAATTATTTGGTTTAATATCCAAAATAACCAAAACAAAGGAAGAATAACATCCAAACCCAATCATAAAAATACAACAACAAAAAACACCAAAAGATGTCCCAACTTACCTAAAAAAGCACTAAAACTTACCTGAAAAACATCAAATAAGTCAGCACCCACGTGGTCTCACTCCGACACAAAACATGCTTTGCTTGTAGCTAGTTTTATTTATTTATTATTATTATTATTATTTAAATTGCTATAATATAATACCAACGGTGCTTGTTGTAATTATTTATTTAAAATGGTTCGGAGTCAAAGGCTTGTGGAACGAAGGCCCAGGTAAGTAAGTCTTGGCCCATTTTATGTCCATCACGGCCCATAAAGAACGAAGACCAATGGACTTGGCCCAAATATTACTGTACTGGTTTTAGAGAACTTGGCCCATTTATTAGGCACTTAATAATTAATAGATTTTTTTAAAACACTGGAATACTGGAATATTTAAAGATGATAAATTTGTAAACTTAAAAAATAAAAAAGACAGAAATTTAAATATTAAAATATATATTAAAATATTTTTTAAAATGTTAGAAATGAAATAACCACCGGTCTAAAAGTTGAACTACTCTACTGCAATTTTATTTTATTATTATTTTGTTTTGAGCTCAATAATGTGGATTAATTTAATATTAAAAAGTTAACACTCCCCTAATAAAAAGGTTTTAATTAAAAGGAAAAAAATATCTGGACCTTTAACGGAAACAAGGCCCCGCCACGCCAGACCGTGGCCCCGTCCCGGGAAGACGGCAGCCAGAGTCGCTCGCGAAGTGTCAGTACGGAGAAAAATTGAAAGAGAGAGAGAGATAGAGAGATTGGAGTATAAACGAAGACTATAATTGAGCTGCTAAAATTTCCCTCTAGTTCGGTCCCGAATCGAATTCTGTACTTCATCAGGTAATCGACCATCATCGCTTACGTTTGCTTCTGCTACTTCGTTTCCTTTTGTTCAGTATTTGTCTTCTCGCAGATTCTTTCTGAAAATTGGATGTATTTTTGGTGAGTTTCAGCTTCTGATAGGAACCATCGATGTCTCTCCCCATGAAAGCCGACGTTCAAGGAAGCCTTGTTGGCTCGGAGATTCATGGCTTCCATACATTACAAGGTACTGTCATGATCATAGCATGTTTTCAAGTTCAGATAAGGTAGTACTTTTAGATGGATGTCAATACGGAGATGTCGGGCTTTTTCGCTGTTGAACTGCCACAGTGTTTCCTGGAACTTGTGGATAACAGCTAGGCTATGATTAGGAGGACTTTTTACTGCTAATTGCCATGCCCTATGACCTCATGCTACTGTTTATGTAATTGGTATTCGACGATTGATTGTTTCAATTTTGGTTTAAAATTTTCATCATGCTGGAGTTCAGTTGAAATTTCTGAAGTCAAAGCTGAAAAACATGGAAGTTTTGATTTCTGAGTTCTGATACTTGGCATTTTAGCTTAAAGATCATTGGAAAAACTTTTAAATTGTTTTGAGGCAAGGAAAAACTCTCATTTTAGCTTAAAGATGCCTTGGAGTATAGAGAAGTTAACGATGCCCAACAACAAGGGGATCCAAAGAACCTTTATTGGGAGGGACTTGAAGTTTTATTGACAAATTAATGTATAACTCATTGTTCTTGCCACTTAAACTTTGAATGATTATTCTAATTATCTTTAGTGGTTAACGTTTTGTGTATGTTATCTGCTTTTCAAAACGCGAGTTTACTATTTCATTTTCGTTTGCTCTTCTGTACAGAATTGGATGTTACAAACATCAGGGAGGAAGCAAGCGGAAGATGGCTTCGCCCAAATGAAATTCATGCAATTCTATGTAACTACAAATATTTTGTCATCCACGTCAAGCCAGTGAACTTGCCTACAAGTAATTTTACGAGTTTCTGCTCTGCGCTTCTTCCCAACTCTATTTGACTTGTCATAAATTGTACTATTAAAGAATTGTTTTGCTTGACTTCTGATGCAACTTATATCATATACAATGATGAGTCTTCTTTGCATTTTGCATGACTATCACATTTATCTTTCCACATTGAGTAATATAGAAAACGAGTATAGGCAGTGATGGCTTGGAGATTCTAATATTGGAAATGCACAACAGGTGGAACCATTGTACTATTTAACCGCAAGATGCTTAGGAATTTCCGCAAAGATGGACATAATTGGAAGAAAAAAAAGGACGGGAAGACCATAAAAGAAGCACACGAACACCTAAAAGTGAGTGTATCCTTTTTTACCCAGACCTAAGATCTGTTTTCATTCTTTATGTATACATTTTTCTGATTCAGATGGTTGTATTTTTGGCATGTGGTTAATTCAGTTTTCCCCTCTGAAATGTTTAAACGAGGAAATATCACTCCAAAGAATAGTTAGAAATCTATTAAAAATATGTTGCCCTAGGCTTAGTGGTGGTAAGTGAGAAAGTAGGCTGTGTTTTTTTATGACTATTTCACGTTGAAGTCCATCAATTAGTTCCGTAATCACCATTGGAATTTATCTATGGGTGATATATACTAGTTTGATGCCCTTGAAGTTTTGGAGTGACTAATGCTTACAAAGCTTGATGCTTTTGGATATTGTAGAAGATTTCGGCTAGACGTGTGGAAGTGGTTCCTGGGTTGTCGGTGGTTATATACCAATTTTCCGTTTGCTGTAGCATTGCTACTCAATAGACGTTTTATGGGTCCGTGTGTTATGGTAGAATATAATTTGTATGCCTTTTTTCTTTAGAAATTTGTAGTAGTTTCTATTGTTTCTACCTAAATTCTCCAAAGCTAATTCAAAACATAGTTGTATAATCTGTCTGTTCAGAATATATTGAAGAGTTAAATTGACATATTTTATCAGCATAGGCATTTGAGTCTAGTACTTCTACTAGAGTAGGAAAATATAAATTCAAATCCCTACAATATTCTTTCATAGATCGTTTCAAGTTTCTCGGACTCAACTTCATTTCGTATATCTTGTCTACTAACTATCCCTCATTAATCAAATTAATATATGAATCCTCATGCAATGGAAGCTGTTGGAGAACATATTTAATGATTCAATTTATTACAACCAGCCTTTTCTTTTGAACTATTCGTGGTTTGTGAGGTTCCACATCGGTTGGAGAGGTGAACGAAATATTCCTTATAAGGGTGTGGAAACCTCTCCATTGTAGACACGTTTTAAAACCATGAGGTTGACGGTGATACGTAACGGACCAAAGCAAACAATATTTGCTAGCGGTGGGCTTGGTGTTACATGGTTCGATAACATTAATTGAATTTTAGTCATCAGCTGATAGTGTGGTCGATGTCAAGTATTCATTGTGTTTAGATTTATAGTAATTGCTGACTATTAATCACCCAAAAAAAAAAAAACTTCATTTTGATAATTCTTTCTTTTTCTTTGACAGGTTGGTAATGTAGAAAGGATACATGTATACTATGCCCATGGCCTAGATAACACAACCTTTGTTCGTCGGTGTTATTGGCTCCTTGATAAGTATGTTATGGTTGAACATACATTTGTATATTTGTTGCTTTCGATGGTCTATCCCCTTCTTGTCATGAACAAAGAAAAATAAAATCATAGTGGCAGCATATTATGTCATATTTGCATAATTTATGACATGCTTGTCTTTTTTGTTCAGGACTCTTGAACACATTGTCCTTGTTCATTACCGTGAAACACAAGAGGTCAATTTTAGCCCAATGCATCTGCAGGTATTGAAACATATTGGTCATGAGATTAGCTTTTATCGTTTGAACTGCTACTTCCCTTTAAGATTTGCTGATTTTGCCTCCATTAGAAAACCAGATAACTACCTATTTGTGTTGAAATAGATGATTTAATTGAACATTTATTGAGCATATTCAACCAAAGAATGTATATGTTTGCCACTAATGTTTAAATGTTTTAAGACAGCAACTTTCTTGATGATTATTGCCTTTAAGTTTCTCTAAATGCCTTTACAAATTTTATTACTCATCTGACTTAATTCTCGAAAATCAAGGCCCTGCTTAGACTCGAGTGCTATATAGTGATTGAAGTGACAAGTGGATCTCTTTCTTCTGATATGCATAAATTTATGCTGGAATGGAAAAGGCAATGATCATGTCACTATTTGATGGGAAAAATTAGTATGTCAGATAAACACTGTTTTCAAAGGTATCAACTCTATGTTACTTCGTGGCACGGATGGATAAAACTTCCTAACATTATGCACATGATTCGATAGCATGCATTTGAACACTTTATGAACAACTTCTTTCAATTAGTCTTCTGTTTTAAAAATAATTCCATCCACTAACTTCCTATCAATGCTAGTTGCAGAGCTCTCCATCCATGTCTATGAATTCAAATTCTGGTTCTGTCTCTGACCCATCAACTCCTTGCCTTTTATCGGAAGAACTTGATTCTAGGGATAATCATGGTTATTCCGTTGACAAAAATGAACGTTCAGGTGATTCTGACTGAACGTGTCAAATTTTATTTTTTATTTTGTCGTTTGTATGATCATTTTTTTTCTAATGTTTTTTCATTTGTACTCTGTTTGAGTGACCATGTACTTTATATTTGCAAGTTTCTGCTGTGTTTATTGTTTATTTGGGAGTTTTTTAACCTTGTTTAAATTTCTAAATGATGGATGGTGGAAGGCATTTTCTACTTGTGTTTTAACTACAGTTTAGAAATATTTTTCAAAAACGTAAAAAACACCTAGAATTTCTTTTCAAAGAAGCAATTGATAGGGACTTTATCAGGTGCCTTTGGCTTGAAGCTTCATTGCATTCTCTCACAAACACTTCATTTAATTACTCTGTACCCACTTTCTTTTACTAACTCCTCTTCACTCCGTTGCTTTTACTAGCTCTCGTTTACACACACATTTTCTCATTGCTTTCCCAGAAACATTCTCCCTGTCCTTTTTTCATTAGTTTTTTTTTTTTTTTCTAACACATATATTCTATCTAATCTCTCACTTCACATTTAGTTCCTCTTTGCACTCTCTTTCTTCTCACATGCCCTCTCAAATTAATCTCTCTATGCACACACTGTCTTGCTCCTTATTTTATTCTTTCTTATATTGATCGGTTTTAGTTTAGATTTTCAATTATAGAAGTATAAATTCAATAAATACTAGTAATAATAAAAAAAAGAAATCTTTTAACGAGATGAAATCACTTCTGAAATATTAGAACCAAATAACGAAGTGTTTGATTATCAAGCATGTGCTTTAGAGTAACAGAAATACCTTTGGTGAAGTTATTTTGAAATTATTTTGGTTTGCTTGTCCTTTCAAACGAGATGTAAAGTTTTCTTTTATTTTACTACATGTATAATGAACAGAGCCAAGAGACACTACAACAGCCATGAATCATGAACAACGGCTTCATGAGATCAACACGCTCGAGTGGGATGAACTTCTTGTGACAGACGAGCCTTTCAAACCTTCCATACCTAAAGGAGGTAACAAAGAAAAAAAAATTCTGAATGAAGCAAAAACAACTGCTTAATTAGATCACAAATGGCTAGATTGTTAATACAATTAACTCTTGTCTTCTCATTCACCAGACAGATTTTCATACTTTGACCAACGGAGCCAAGTCCCAACAAATGTGAGTAGAATAATTTAATAGAGGTGCTAAATTTTCCTCTCTTGTAGTTGTTGCCTTATTTATGGACTCTTACAATCCATCTTTGCAGGTGGCCAACAATTTATTGGGGAACACGCCTTTGTTTAATAATCCAGTTGAGCCAATTGGGAGTGCCTATATGCCACTAACAAGTGGTCAAACAAATTTAAATGTGGAGAGTAAGGAATCCATTCCAATTACTTCATTGGACAATTTGTTAAATGATGGATTGCTGCAAAGCCAGGACAGCTTTGGACGATGGATAAATGAAGTCATCACCGAGTCTCCTGATACAGTCATTGATCCTGCCATTGAGCCATCCATTTCATCCATTCACAATTCTTTTACCGATCCAACATTAAATCACTGTCAATCTTCTGTTATGGAGCAAATTTTTAACATAACTGATATCTCACCTGCGTGGGCCTTTTCAACAGAAAAAACCAAGGTCCTTTCTTCTACTATTTCCAAAATTTTCACATTTCCTATACTTTCTGACATTTTATCACCGTCATAATATGGGTGTTTCTTAGGCTTTGCGGTATTTCTTGTTGTGCAGGCACGGAAAGCATTCCCTTTATGTCACTTTATTATTATTATTAGGCTTAATTCCTGTTTTGGTCCATAAATTTTAATGCTTTATTTTGGTTGGTAAACTGTTAAACAGAATTTAATATTTAAATCTTACATAAAAGTCTATTTCAATCTTTGTCTATAAATAAACTATTTAACATATCCCTAACGTAGACATATTTTGTTAATCAAATTTTGGGAGGTGAAGAATCGAAGTTTTAAGTTTATTCGTAGAAATCAGGGTTGATAATGGAAGGATACAGTATTTGCAGCATCTAGGAACAAAAGAACCACTTTACCTTTTTAAGATTGTAATTTGTGTTGGTGATTGAATTCTCCATTACTGTCGTTTCAACACAACCAATTCTTGACACAACTCTTTTTTGGCCTTGGTTGACTCTTTTTTGCCCTTGGTTGATTAATTTATATCTACGATTCTCTTATAAAAAGAAAGGGCTATAATTGACCTATTTTGTGTAGCCACTCCTAATAAGTCCCATTAATTTTTTGTAGTAGTTGAAGTAAACTTTCTTTTTTAGTCGTAGAAGCAGACCAAGCGAATTTATTGAACGGACCTTGGGTTTTTTTTGGATCTGTGAGCTATATTTATCGTCAAGGATTTTTTATTTTTATTTTTTTATGTTTGTTTCTTGTTTCCTAAATAATGGGGGCGTTTTTTCAGTAATTAATTTGGCACATGCAATATTACATCCGAATCCACTTAGTTTGAGTGTAGGCTAGGTTGGTTCAACAATGTCCCATTTATCCTTTTGAATATTTAGACAACATTTAATACTAATTTGGTACCATGAGCTTTTGAATTTTATGATGGGAACATGTTTGCTGCCAATTTCAACTTTCAAAAACTTGAATATTGTCCTTCAGTTTCATTTCGGGTAGCTATTCCTTCCACCATCGATATTCTGAACGTGGCAGACAGACTCATTATAAACGTGTAAGAGAAAATGTTTTGAATGGTAATTCATTTTAATTATATGGCTGACCCTCACCTATTCATTGCATGAGCTTTAAAAAGCTTCAAATATGATCATTTCATTTGAAGATTGAAATGGAGGTCCAAGAATAGTTTGGGTTGTTTATTTCTGCGCTTGTTGATTTGACAAGTTTTCATTGGGTGCATTACAGTCAAAAAGGTGTAATACACCATCTTTCTGCTAATCCGCCTATAGCTTGCAAATATACTAATGCCATTCTTTTTACTTATTGCAGATTCTAATCACGGGATATTTTCACAATGAGTACTTGCATCTGGCAAACTCCAATATATTGGTCGTGTGTGGTAATGCCAGTGTTAATGCTGATTTAATTCAACCTGGAGTTTATCGATGTGTGGTACAACCACATTCAACTGGACTAGTAAATTTATTCGTGAGCTTAGATGGTCATAAACCTATCAGTCAAGTTCTGAATTTCGAGTATCGTGCACCACTTTTACGAGAGCCTGTAGTTGCTTCAGAACAGATCCAAAAGTGGGAGGAGTTTCAAGTTCAGATGCGGCTTGCTCATCTGTTGTTCTCTACATCCAGAAGCCTGAGCATCATGTCGACTAAATTGTCACCCACTTCCCTGAACGAGGCCAGGAAATTTGCTGTCAAAACTTCTGACATTTCTGACAGTTGGATTTATTTGTTGAACTCAATAAAAGAAAATAACACTCCATTTCCTCAAGCAAGAGCCTGTGTTCTTGAGATCATTTTGAAAAGTAGGTTAAGGGAATGGCTGATAGAAAGAGTTGCTGAAGGCTCAAAGAAAAGCACTGATTTCGATATAAAAGGTCAGGGAGTAATCCATTTGTGTGCCATCTTGGGATATACCTGGGCTATACATCTATTTGCCTGGTCTGGTTTATCAATAAATTTTCGAGATAAATTCGGATGGACAGCTCTTCACTGGGCAGCTTATTATGGAAGGTACATATTATTTGTCAAATAAGAATTCGTTAAATATCCTTGATTCTTTGTGGTTTGCATCAAATTCTTGTGGGTATTAGATATCCTTGGAGGGTCGTTATTCCTAACATGATTGTTTTGCTTCTGTTTTTATGCTATCCTGGAAATGGGAATGCTGGAGGGTTATCAACGGGATTTTTGCCAACCTTTCGAAACTAGTACTTATTATTTTTTAACTTCTTCATACCTTAGCTTTTTTTTTATATGTTTTCTTTAAAGTACTCCTCAGTCTATATATGTGTGCGATTTAATTCTTTGACATGGTTTTATCTCTATTGAACATGGTTTTATCTCTATTGAACATGGTTTTATCTCTATTGAAAGTCATAAATTTAAATACACAACTTCCCAATTACCAGGTTGACATGCTCCTCACTGATTCAATATTTTCAAAATACCTAAGCCAAACCTTTCATGTATATGCACATATTTATCTTTAATCATAATTTATCTCAATTGTAGTTATTTTACAACACCTTGAACCAGGCAGAGAGGTTGACGTTGTACTGGCGTATTGGAAATTCTCAGTGTTTAGTTTTAAAGTTTACTTTACTGGACAGTACTTCTCACCTATTTGACCACAAAAATCTTCATGTATAGGGAGAAAATGGTAGCTGTTCTTTTGTCAGTTGGGGCAAAACCAAACTTGGTCACTGATCCCTCATCAAAGAACCCTCTGGGATACATAGCTGCAGATCTTGCATCTTTGAATGGTTATGATGGCTTAGCTGCTTATCTTTCTGAAAAGGCTTTGGTGTCACATTTTAATGATATGAGCTTGGCTGGAAATGTTCGTGGTTCATTGGAAACTAGTACAATGACCGATGCCACTAACTCGGATAGCATCAGTGAGGAGCAGATGTATATGAAAGAAACATTGGCAGCTTACCGAACAGCTGCTGATGCAGCAGCGCGCATACAAACTGCATTCCGTGAGAATTCTTTAAAGCAAAGGACTCAAGCAATTGAATTCTCCACCCCAGAAGATGAAGCACGGGGTATTGTTGCAGCCATGAAGATTCAACATGCTTACCGCAACTTTGAGTCACGAAAAAGAATGGCAGCTGCAGCTCGTATTCAATACAGATTCCGCACTTGGAAGATCCGCAAAGAGTTCCTTAATATGCGTCGTCATGCTATTAGGATTCAAGTAAGTATATACCCTCAGTTCTTGGCATTACCTTCAATTGATGAAAGAGATAGGCGTCAATCATCGTTAAGTCTTGAAATGTCTCCTCTTTATAACGGTATTGTTTACACAACTAAATCCAACTAAGCCGTGAACTATATAATAAATAAGATTAGCCAAGTTTATCGTTTCTGCCTGATGGGATTTGAAGGGCTTATTTTTAGTGTTGGTTTAACTGAGTGTTATTTCATACAATAATTATGAACTGATCCTCTCGCGGTTACCATTGTTCAGCGTGATTTATCTGAACCTGATGATTTTTGCAAAGCGATCATAAATTTCATGGAACTATTATAAACTGACATGCATACTAGAGTTGTTCTGTTAAAAATGAACAGTTCAGGAAGATGACTGCCTATTTGTTTCATTCCTCAGGCTGCATTTAGAGGCTTCCAAATGCGGAGGCAGTATCGCAAGATTTTATGGTCGGTAGGCGTAATCGATAAAGCCATACTGCGCTGGCGTCTTAAGAGGAAAGGTTTTCGTGGGCTTCAAGTTGCACCTGCTGAAGTGACAGAACAGCAGGAAATTGGCGTAGAAGAGGACTTCTACCACGTGTCCCAAAAACAAGCAGAAGAACGAGTAGAGAAAGCTGTTGTACGGGTTCAGGCTCTGTTTCGATCAAAGAAAGCTCAAGAGGAGTATCGAAGGATGAAGTTAACCTACAATGAAGCAGCGGTGAGTTAAAAGCCTTCCATTGAAGTTTCGTGTGTACCTTTTAAGTAGTGCATAATTTTGATCGTGTCATATTTTTGAGGTATTGCAGCTGGAATATGAAGAACTTTCACATCCTGATATGAATTTGAGTAGCTGAAAGCACAAGTTTGTGAAGATTTCTATGACTGTGGTAGTGATTAACAGTCTACACTATAAATGGTTGAAGTCAGTAGTTTCCTTAGCTTAGGCCAACACGAGGAACATCTGGTACCAATACTTGATAGTCAAAGATGGGCGCCTTTGAGTTTGGCTCTTTATTGTGGCAACAAGTTTAGTGGCCAATGAACTTCTTAGGTTGGGGAAGGAAGATAAAGCCCTTAGTGCCAAAGCAAATGTTATTGGTACCAGATGCTTATCTTGCTTGTACTTGTAAGTATATGGATAGTTCAGTCTGATTTGTAGAATATGTAATTTTATGATTTAGGCCCCATTGCAAACTTGATTTGAAGGGACCTGATATTTTTCAGTAGTTTGACATTAAAAGAAACACGAACAAGATTTGACTCACAGCCCCTCAGGTTTCGAAGAAAGGTCAGAAGAGTAACTGTAAACTCGAAAGATGAATTCATCTTTCGATTCTATCGATAAAGTTTACGGACAAACTTCAATTTAATTCTATAGAAGTGAATGATCTATGAACTTTATTCAGAGTTTAAAGCAACAATAATGTCACTAATCAAGTCAAAAACAATAATCAGAGAAAATCGTGACAACGAAACCGAGTTCCAACGGAACAATTCTCGAGTTGCCGAATATTTTTCTCACTCAAACTACATTCAGTCAGGCAGAGATGATGACCTATATGGAATAATGGATGCTAATTACCCAATGTTGGTACTACTTGATATACTGAGAGAGCCATTTGAACCCGTCGCCATAACCCATCTTGCGGACGATGCTACACATAAATACCTCGAGCGGTCTAACGTTAGTCTGGGTAAGAATAACCTTTCCCTTGCCAGTCGTGAAATTGCTCAAACCCAGGTGAAATCTTAGCTCGTCCTCAGAAGCTGCATAGGGGATGTCAATCTTGTTTCCGAGCACAAGGAATGGAACATCAGCCAGCGCTTCGTCCGAAAGGAGGGCATCAAGCTCCTTCTTCGATTCGGTAAACCGCTCTTTGTCATAGGCATCGACCAGGTAAACTACTGCATCCACCTAATCATGGAAATATGCAACATGTTATTGTCTGTAGGCATTCTCACATAATCACAAGCAGAGAAGGAACTATGCTAGCACAAATGGAATTCAGAAGCCACAAACATGACAATCTCAGGATTATAAATGCTATTCAACTTCCAATAGTTACAACAGAATATTATAAGAACCGAGTAAGAAGGAAATATCATGAAATTGAACAAGATCAGATGTTGAAATGCCTTCAGGCTTTCATCACCAGGGAAATCTGAAAGGGGTTCAACAACTTTGAACAGTCAAAGATTTGCTTTGAATTATTAAAAGATTTGATGGATCATGACAGCATGGATCGAAATGCACAATTTGCAGCTATGTCAATGAATTTTTGATTGAGAAGGTAGCAATTTAGAGCAGGATCTGAATAGATTTAGACAAGAAATTTCCATAGAATCTAACAGCCTTTATTTTCATGTAACTTCAGGTCGTAAGAATCATTACATCCAGATTCAGAACGAAAGGAGGTTCCTTCTTCAGGAAGTTTCAGCTGAAAAAGTCAACTACTGCCGAAGGAGATTGAAACTAACGTCTAATCCTACAATGAAGCACAGCAAAGGCATCTGGTGGGGCTTGAAAAGAAGAAACTCTAACAACCATCAAATCAGTGATAAAGAAAACCTATGCCATAGGTCCAATCAGTGATCAATTCAAAGCGGAAGATTAATAATAATAGCCGTCGTCGAGGAAAATCTAATTGAGTGGAGACGAATCAAAGCGAATAGGATGGCATCTAAATCTAATTGAAAAGATCGATCGAAGTATGAACAATTTCAGGACAAAGACAACTATGGAGCCAATTCATGGTTACAGAGACAAAACGCAATCAGAAATTGACGCAAAAAGTGAATAAAGCATTACCTTAGCATAATAATCTTTCCAGACTCGACGAGCAATCTGGTGGCCTCCAAGATCAAAAGCCTTGAATTTGATTTTCCCAATACTCAGCTCTTCTGAGGTAGGGTGTTGAGTCGGCTGGTGTTGCACTAATCTCTACGCGACAATTCAATATTTCCATAAGAAATCCAAAAATTGAATACCAAAACTGAATTATAGTCAAGATGAAGAGATGAAACTCACCTCGTCCTTCAACATGTGAAGGAGAGTGGTTTTTCCGGCATTATCGAGGCCGAGGAAGAGAATTTTGGCCTCTTTTTGCCAGAGGCCGAGCGATGCTAAGACGCCGTAGAACCAATCGACGAGGAACATAGTCGCCGATTGCTAATCAGTGAGAAATCGAGCCGGAGAAATAACCGGAGAATGGTTAAGAGACCCAGAGAGTGGAATGAAGACGAAAGTAGATTGAAAGGAAAAAAAATGGAGATCTGAAGACGTCACTTGACAAAATGGTTAATTTTAATTTTAATAACCCTTTTAACACAAATTACTTGGCTCAATGGTCAGCTCACTTTAGATTGAACCAACCTCTTCATCCAAAATGCATTATCTTCTTTATAATTTTTACATTAAATTTCAAAAATGTCAATTTTTATTATCATAAATTTTTGTTTGAAGGATCATTGAAAAGTTGAGCTAAATTTTTGTCAAATTTGTGTGTTTGCGTGATCGATTGTGCGTAATAATATAACTTACGCACAACTTAGACGTTTAAACCAGGCCCATTTATGTAACCCAAACCCAGTTCCATATTTAGAAGTTCAAGACCAACCCCAATTCGTAGCCCAAGCCCAGTTCTTATCTAGGAGTTCAAGCCCAATATTTTATGTAGGAGTTGAAGATAAGCCCATTACGTAGCCCAAGCCCAGTTACTTATTTTAGTATTTCACAACCAAGTCCATTTACAAGCCCAAGCCCAGTTTCTTATTTCAAACTTTTAGACAAAGCCCATGACGTAGCCCAAGCCCAGTTTCTTATTTAGTTATACATGACCCAGCCCATTACGTCGCCCAAGCCCAGTTTCTTATTTAGTTATACATGACCATGCCCATGACGTAGCCCAAGCCCAGTTCCATATTTAGGACTTCAAGACCAAGCCCATTTCGTGGCCCAAGCCCAGAATTTATTTTGCAGCTCACGACCAAGCCCATTACATAACCCAAGCACAGTCTTATTATTTAGAAGTTCAAGCTCTAGCCCATGCCCAAATTTTTACGTAGAAATTCTAGATAAGCCTATTACGTAGCCCAAGCCCAGTTTCTCATTCAAGAGTTCTAGACAAAGCCCATGAAGGAGCACAAGCCCAGTTTCTGATATTGGGAATCAATACCAAGCCCATTAAGTAGCCCAAGCTCAGTTTTTACATATATGACAATTATATGTAATATATGTATTTTTTTTTTATCATCCATCATTGAAGTTTCCTTCCACATGTAAACATTTCTTACATCTATACTTGAAAAACCTAGTATTCATATAAGAGAATCTCAATAGTTTCGATAAGCTACCAAATACGGTACTAACAAACAAACATTTAATTGGGTGATGAATCAAATAGACGGGAAACACACGACACGATCGGTGCCCCAGCTCACATTTTGCAGTGACATAGACCATAATTGTGAAGCTACTATATTTAATTGGGTAAGGGGCGGCAACTAAAGAAGCAGTGAGATAGACCATAATTGCACGAATAGGTTGCATTTAGTACCAGATCACTTCACATTTTGCAGTGCTTGCGTATCAAAGGTAGAGTTGTGCTGCAGTCCTTCCATACCCACTTAACTACAAAACCCCTAAGAACCAAAGGAGATAAATGTGAAACTACTGCATACTCAAGTTGGCACAGTTCAGAGAGCATAGTCCAAAAAAAGGGCCAAATAATCGACGCAACCTATTTGACTCGAGTTTGCTACAAATAGAGGGTAATTTACCTCATTGGAGTTTCGTACTAGCCAAGGAGTTTTTTGGCAAGAATGGGAGAAATGTATTATAGAATTCTCAAAATCTCAAAGAGTAAACTCATCAGGGTTAATATAGAGCCAATACAACACGAGGTCACAAACATTTAAGCTACCTCTTTAAAAGCATTTTATGATGCATAATGCATTTAATTCCTAAATGTCATCAAACAAAATAGAATTAAAGCAACTATCAGAAGAAAAAATAGCTAATTGTCATGAAAATCTTTCAGGGTTTGTGCGCCTCGTAGAACAAAGGCCAGCACAAACAAAAAAATTAATTGAACAAGTGATGCCAATAGTTCAAAAACAAGATCAATCATCAAAATTAAGTAACCCGAGATTCAATAGACTGATTCTATCTAGTGTGTGAATGAATTGGGTAGACAAATAGCCAAAAAAAGAAATCATAATGCATTTGAAAGAAACAAGTGTCTAATTTTAGAAATGAACTTCAAAAGTCAGATAAGTCAAATGCTTAACATTTAAAAGCAATGAACTGACAACATTAGGATCCATTAAAACCAGAAGAAGAAGAAACAAAAGAGAATGCAGAAATGAGTGTGAAAACACAATCAATCACTAAAAATTTGAACTTCCAGAACAGGTTAATCGATAGTCGTAACAGGACTCGTTAAATTCAAGTGAAAATAACTAGTCTAATGAACAAAAAGGGCAGAGACATAAAAATGTTCAATCGAAGCAGACTCGAAATTCAAATCGTTCTAAATTACTCTTCCTCAGTACCGCTTTCACCACTCTTGTTGTTGTGTTTCTTGGCGTACCTTAGATTCCTCAGAAACTTGGGATCCATCTACACACAGATCGACAAAACACTATCAAATAAAGCCAAACAATTTTGAAGTAACATTCTATATGAAATATTCGAACCAAAAAGAAAAACAATGATTTCGTTCATGTATTTCGTACCCCTTTGGTGGAAGTGTGGCGGTGCTTCCTTGGCTTCTTGATGCCATTCCTATGGGCTTTTCGGGACTGATTGTGCGCTGTGTGATTCTTCGACTTGGCCATTTCTAAATATCACAGAATAAAAAAGCAGAAACGAGAAAGTGAAATCAGAAAACTAAAGCTACGCCAAATTTCGTAGTAAATGAAATCAATGGAAGGAGAGTAGTAGAACAAACCTCGGACCCAGCGGTGGCTGCAAATTCTAGGGTTTCCTTCGCCTCGGCTCAGTTAATCAAGCGTGAAGGAAATGTTCACCTATTTACTGCTATGATCGGCTGCTAGGTAATGGGCCTGGTCTTGAACCCTAAATAAGGAACTGGGCTTGGGCTAGATAATGGGCTTCGTCTTGAACTCCTAAAATAATAAATTGGGTATGGGCTAGATCATACACCCGCTATGGAGTACAAAGTTCGTAGATTATATGAAATGGACATGGGAGGGTCCAATGTCTCAATAGAACCCAGATGGATGGATGTTCGGGATGTCTCGATAAGAAGATCGATACATGGATTAGTTTCCACATATGTGTTCGAGCAAGCCAAGATGCCCAAGTTGTCTCGAGACATGGGATGACATCGTGATGCAGGAGTAATGTTGTTGGGAGAGACCTTTGCCTCAAGTAGAGGCAAGTTGTTTGTATGAAGATGATTAAACATGCACGTGCATGTGACATATGTGGTCAAACAAACTTGGATTTTACACCAGTTATGTTCGGTGTGCGAAAACAAACCTTCCTAAGGTCTAACGAAGAACAAAGTTGGATGAAAAATAAATATGGGACTTGAATTTTTTTCAAGACTGATCCTAAGCGTGTTAAGATCACGACGTCGTATGGGTTAAAATATGTGTGAAATGAAATTAAGGTATAAAACGACATATTTATTCGCCCAATGACCAAGCCCATTTACAATATAATACAGAATAAGAACATCGGCCCAAGCCCATTCACAATATAATACAGAATAAGAACATCGGCCCAAGCCCATTCACAATACAATACAGAATAAGAACATCGGCCCAAGCCCATTTACAATATAATACAGAATAAGAACATCGGCCCAAGCCCATTTACAATACAATACAGAATAAGAACATCGGCCCAAGCCCATTCACAATACAATACAGAATAAGAACATCGGCCCAAGCCCATTCACAATATAATACAGAATAAGAACATCGGCCCAAGCCCATTCACAATATAATACAGAATAAGAACATCGGCTCAAGCCCATTCACAATACAATACAGAATAAGAACATCGGCCTAAGCCAATTTACAATATAATACAGAATAAGAACTTCGGCCCAAGCCCAAGTTCAGCTGCCCATAACACTAAAATAGGTCAATATTTTCTTTGCGTACGATTATCTGAGCGGAGGCGAAGGAAACCCTAGGATTTGCAGCCACCGCAGAGTTCAAGGTTTGTTCTACTCCTCTCTTTCCACTGATTTAATTTACTCCGAAGATCGGCGTAGATTCAGTTTCTTATTTCACTTATTTTGTGTGCTTCTTTGTTCTGTTGTCGTTAGAGATGGCCAAGTCGAAGAATCACACGGCACACAATCAGTCCCGCAAAGCCCATAGGAATGGCATCAAGAAACCAAGGAAGCACCGCCACACCTCCACCAAAGGAGTACGAAATACATGAACAGAATCAATTTTCGATTATTTTGTATAAAATATTATTTTCAGAATCGTTTTGATTTTTCTTATTTTGTTTCGTGGATCTGCTTGCAGATGGACCCGAAGTTTCTTAGGAACCAGAGGTACGCGAAGAAACACAACAACAAGAGTGGCGAAACAGCTTCTGAGGAATAGTAAAGTAGAACGCCAAGATGCGGCAAGTTCAGGGTTTTTATGATATAAGTTTGATTTTCTATTGAACCTCTTGTTTATCTGTTGTTTTTGTTTAGTAGCAGTCTTGTAATTTTGACTTTGTTGTAGCGAGCTCCATTTTGATGAGGCTTCTACGGCCTGGTTACGACAACACACTATCAGTTTTTCCTTTTTTTTTTTTTTTTTTTTAGG